ATTGGGCTACATAAGGGGCTCACTTTGATACAATTATTTCAGTGATTGACTGGGTATTTTTGGCTTAATTTGTGAATAACTAAGAAAAGCCAAAATGGCCATTTTTGGGGTAAAATTTTGGGCCCGAAATTTGCAAAATACATTACACCATATTAATTCTGCTAAAAATTTAAGCAAGTTTTGTCTTTATAAGTTTTCATCTAAACTCAACCCAATTTGAGAAAAACGTGTATTAAAATTCAAGTTTATCTCGTTTTGTCCGGTTAATTTAAATCAGCACTGTACTCATCAGCAAAAAAAAAAATTTAAAAATGTTCTGTTAAAAGTTTGAGAAAATATGATGAGAATGCAAATGCTGGAGAAAACCGATACTGTGAGAAAAAACAAAGCTTTAATTAACTCATCATTTCCTATTTTGGTAATTTCTAAAAGTAAACATTGAAAACTTATGGTGCTGTTACTCATGTTCTGTGCAGTTGGTAGCACATTTTTTCACTCTTTTTAGACTGTAATTTGAAGAGCTAATCAATTGGGATTTTTTTGCGACAAGAAGTTTTTGAAGTTTAAGAGTTCGTATAAATGAAACTTTTGAAATACTATATTTTTCCTTTTATAAACCTACAGAATCAAGTTTGGATTAAGACTTTAGTTTATGTGTTGATGGTGAGATCAATTTCGTCATAGTTTGATTTGGAAAGCAATCCGTCTTTTGATACGCCATAATAAATAACAAAATTAGCGCATGTTTCGTAAAACAGGTTCAGTTGCTGTTTGCTTAAAGTCTTGCGCAGTCGATTTCACAGAAATCAATTTGCTTCTTTTTAACAAAATAAATGTTATCTTTGAATTCCAGTTTTTTATCGAGATACAAACACAAAATAATAAAAACGGACATTTGCTCAATGCCTTCGTTTTGAGATAAGTAGTTGGACTTTGCTAACCGTTTAGTGAACTGTTTTGTTTGTATCTAAGATCAAAGTCAATTTTGCTTATGTCCATAAAAGGCGTTATTCCTGACGAGGCGCCAATTACGAAGGGCATCCTTTAGCTACATCAACCGGATTTTGAAACACCTCAATTGTACACCTGGAAAATCACTTTAACAGTTTTGAAATTTTAAACATTCAAACCATTAAGTAGAGAATCAATCAGTAAAGCATATAACTGGTAGTTAAAAAGATCATGAACTGGAAGTTTGCTTCGAAACAATAAATAAAATTTTGTGAAGTCTTTAGAAATTTTTTGTCTTGAAGTCCCGTGGGCGAAAAGAAGGAAATTTTCCGTTGTTATAGAGAGGAAAAAGTCTAAATCAGGTATAATTCAAAACGTTTTTTTAGCTTTAAGCTCTCGTTTTTTCTAAAAAAAAATCTTTTAAATTGTAAATCAACTACTCAACAAATAAGGACATAGGTGCATATTTGTTGTTTCTTGTTGAAAGAAACTATTTGTTTGACATCCTAGTCGAGATCCTGCTCAGAAACTGCCATTAGCACATACAGGGCACGTACTACCAGGGCTCATCTGTTACAACCAGCTCCATAAAAATCTGAAGTCATACCATACCTATCATAAAGCAGATAAAATTATGGAATGCAAAACTGCTCTAAAAATTTTAGGGTTCAAATAAATTGTCAAGGATGACAGTGTCTCTTACAAAATCAAAAAAAAACAGCTCATCTTTTTCCAAAAATAAACGATCAAAAACCTCTCAAACTGCTCATACTAAAGGAAGATTTTGAGCGTAGTGGTCTATAAAAAAACCGTTCAAACTGCTCAAATATTGCTTGAAATTGGACTTTAAACCTCGACTCAGGTATCAATATAAACTAGTTTCGAGATAAATTTTATGACTAGTTTTTGTCTCAATTCGGTAATAAATTAGAGGATCTAACCGCTCCTTAGCTTCTTTTAATCGTAATTTTAAATCCAATTTCAAACGTTATTCTTTTAAACGTAATATGCCAAAAACCTGAATTCAAAATACCAATTTTCACAAAAAATGATCAAATGGTAAAAAAATTCTTCAAATCCAGCTCACAATATGGATACCTTTCAGATGCTCCAAAAAATTCAATTGGTTATAAACGGCTAGTTGAAGTTCGACGATTTTGGTCTGAAGGAAAAACCACATCGAACACAAATACTTGAAAGCAGGGTCGAAATTAGGGGGGCATGGGGCGGACGTTTTCTCTCAGGGACTCAACCCCCTACCAAAGTTTTTTTGTAAATAAAAATTTTTTAAGAATAATTAAAAACATTTTCGGTTGTTGCCTCTTTTTTAAAAAACGTATCACCTGCGGTGTAAAAATTTTCATAAAGAAGAGTCTTTGTCGTTTTGTTAGTGCTCTGAAAAAAATTTTAGGTCAAACTTCTAAACTGTCGACAAAGCTCCTCTAGAAAAAATCTGAGATCCACGCCTGGTGAAACATATGTGAGTGTTTATGGAACCCCCAATTCGGAGGGTTTTGTACAAACAATTAGGTCAATTAAGGAAGTTAGGCGATTTTAAACAGATGGTCGACTTTTCGAGAATATTTTTCACTAGCAAGAAAAGCGTAATTTTTTATTTAGTGCTTCAGTTTTTCTACAAAAACAACGAAACTTTTCTTCAATCACCCAATTACGTTTTGCGAATTCTACTTGAGAATTTTTTTTCAGAAACAGTTTGAAGATATTTCGATAAAAGGTCAAAATTTCGATTAATTTTTGATCAACTTTTTTGTTGCATTCTATCATTCTCTGATTCCAAAAAGAATTTTTTAGAAGTTGGTGTTTTAGATATTCAAGTATAGGTGTAACTTAAAATTTATATGCCTGATACATGTGCAATTCTTTTACTGAGCCACCTTGTTGATTTTTTTTTTAAAAAATTAGGGGCTAAAATCTTCGTTTTCTTAAAAATGTTCTCAAAAACAAGAACGCTGCAAAGTTTGTATATTGCAAAAACCTTTAGCTTACTTCGTACAAAAGGATAGTTGCGATACGATAAATGCTTCATATCAATCAGTTTTGGGCTCTTAAGTCTCGCTGCCGCCTCATGTAAGTTCTACTTTTTTGAAGCAATGGGCGGGTCTAAGAGGTTTTTGATGACCAAAACCATTTGGAATGTCCTTTTCAATCAGCATAGCAAATGGATGCGTGATGAAAAGTTATAAGAGTTCGTTTTGCAGGGGGAAGGAAAAAGAGCCATTTTTAAACTTTGTTAGTTTGACGATCAAGGTGCTTGCGGAGGTTGTGGGAGGGTGAGGCTGCCAGTTAAAATCCTTTTTTGAAATCTGATCTAACTGCCTTTAAGTTAAATCTTATTTTTTTTGGGGTGGTTGTTTTTTTTGAGGGGATTGGGAGCGCGCTCCAACAAAAAACATTGTTTCGTAGAAATTTTCTTTTGAAGCTGATTAAAAACTTCTCGTTCGTGGCTTGTTTTTTTTTCAAATTGTCACAAGCGTTTCAGAAAATATTTGTTAAATTGCGTCTTTATAGTGTATTGTGAGAGCTTAGTAAAAAAATTTTGGTCTAGTTTATAAATGGTCGACAAAAGCTCGCAAGAAAAAATCCCAGATCCTCGACCAAACATATATGAGCGTTTATGGGACCCCCGTTTTGGGAGAGTTTTGTAAAAACAATGCGGTCAAAAAAAGGAAATTAGTCACTTTTAAACAGATGTACCAACATTTGGGAATACTTTCTTTAGTAACATAAAAAGCATAACAACAGAGAAACAACAACGAAACTTTTCTTAGGTTGACCCAATTGATTTTTTCGAAATCTGCTTAAATAAAATAGGGAACGCTGCATTACTTGTATCTAGCAAAAGCCTATAGCTTCATTTGTACAAATAGATGGTTTTCATACGATGAGAAAATGCTTCATATTAATCAGTTTTTGGACTCTTTTGTCCTACAACCGCCTCACAAGTAAGTTTTACTTTTTTCGGAGTAATGGGCGGTTCTGCGAGCTTATATGAGGAACATATCTATATGGAATGACCTATTTAATCAGCATAGCTATGACTGCGTGAATAAAAGTTAAAAATTGCAGGGGGAGGGAAAAGAGCCGTTTTTGCAGTTTCATTAATTTGCCGATCAAGGAGCTCGGGGCGGGTGGGGAGAGGGTGGTGTTACCAATTAACAAAAACTACTTGTTTTGAAATCTAAGCAAAAAGTTCCCCAGCAATTTTAGTAAACTTTTATATGCCAACAGTTTAGGTCTAGTTGATTTTTGAGGGGATGAGTAGTGCCACTCAACAGAATGCAATTTTTTTATTATTATTTTAAAAAACTTCCTACAACCATAATCGTTTGTGGACTGGTTTTTTTTTCAAAATGTCACATGCGTTTTAGAAAATTTGCGTGAAATAGCGTCTTTATACTTTTTTTATGACAGCTCTGAAAAATAGTCGACTTCTAAATGGTCGATTTCTAAATGGTCGACAAAATTGCTCTAGAAAAAATCCTGGATCCGCGCCTGGTTAAGTATATGACCCTGTTTATGGAATCCCAGTTTTCGCATGGTTTTGCACAAATTATGAGGTCAAAAAGGAAGTTGGTCGACCTTTAACAGAAGGTCGATCTTTCAGGAAAAAAATTATTTAGTAACAAGATTCAACTTTTCAATTACTGCCCCAGTATTTCTAAAACAACGAAGCTTTCGTCCGTTTTTATACTTTTCTTACCTCGACCCTGATTTTGCAAACTCTGCTTGAAAATTTTTGGCAAAAATATTCGATCATTTTTCAAAATTTGATCAACATACTGATTTACAGTTTTCTTTGTCTGCCTCATATTTTTCGATCAGTAAAAAAAGTTTTGTCGAATTTTTTTTCGTTTTCTAATTTTTTTCATTTTTAATTTTCGTCTTATTTTGCCTTCGCCCAAGTTACACATTCCCCTTTTTTATCTTACTGCTTTAATTTCTGCAGGAAGCTTAATATCAAAGGTGAAACAATTTTAACCAATTAGGTCCTTAAAACTCTTTTTTTTCATAACTATATTTATCTCAGAACTCAATTTTTACGATAAAGGTGAACGGGAACATAGCACCATAAATTAGGGAATTTGAGTTTCAATATGTTCATTCAATCATCATACATAATAAAGTGCGTTCTTTCTTCTGCTTGAGTTCGATTTGTTCAGTTTCGTTTGAGTTTCGTCGGCCGTCTTGGATGTTGGAGCTTAAATTGAACCAACAAATTAGACCTTTGAAAATTTTACGAAAAGAAAAGATAAATACATTTTTTCGCCTCATCTTTATACAGACAATAAAGATAAGGGCGCTCCAATAACTTTATAGGAATATCCAACGCCCTCGACCCTTTTAGTTATTTTATTAATTAAACTGTCTAATTATGTGTCTGAAACTACAAAAAATGAGCTTACTTTTGAAGACTCCTGCCTTCTGCTTTGAGTAAATTCTAGTCGCCTTTCCAACCAGAGGTCCTTGGAGGGGCGAACTTTGAATGTTCTAAAAAGAGAGAGAGAGAAAAGTTGTTCAAACTTGTGAAATAAAGCAACACGTAGGAATGGTAAAAACCACAGTTTTAGGTCATATTCGTTTTAATATGCTGTCTGCAATAGGTTGGATCGGCAATTTGCAGGCCTTCGATTTATTGGGTATTTTAGTATACCCATTCTTGGTATGAACAAAATGATTTGTGAACTAATATTAAGCAGGGGGAGTTTAACACAAGCCATACTAATTCTATTCTGAGTTTTTTTTGCCATTTTTTAAATTCGCTAGCTACCAACAAGCAATGAAAACCGATGAAAACAGCAATTTGAATTGAATTTAAATTGAATTTAATTGAATTTAAAACAACTCACCTCGAATTTGCTCGGTAGTCCACCCTTGTTCAAAGAACTCAGCCCAAACTTATGTGTCGGCCGTACTGCTTCGGCTGGCGCCGTATCCGAGTACCGAACCATCGGCTTTCTTTCCTTGTCGACTTTCCCCACCAACTGGGAAATCCTTCCCCCCTCGACGACTGTAGAGTTAGAGCTATTTTGGGAATTTGACGTTGATGGGGGTGTTATGTTGTTATTTTTTCCTTTTACGTCTACAGGTCCCTGGTCCGTTTGGCTTACATGTTTTATTGCGCTTTTTCGAGTCAAACTTGTCGACTTTGAGTTGTTTGTTTCTTTGATGGTACTACTGAGAGACTGTTTATTTTTATTTGATAGAGATGTGTTTTGTTGTTTGTTCGTGGTTTGGGTTTGGGTTTGGCCACCGATAATGCCTGAGAAAATGCGGGATTTTCGTTTAGTTGATGAGGTTGTAGGTTGTGTTCTGGGGGGAGACAGTTTGCTGAAAGTTTTATTGATTGACGTGGATTCTTTCCTGGTTTTGTTGATGACGATGTCCCTGCGTTGGAAACTGGACGAGTTTGCGTTTCTTGTCGGATCAAGTTTGCTGAAAATATATTTAAAAAAATTGTTAACTCCAGTCCTAAATCTCTATGCATTTATGGATGGCCCTATGCTAGTACTGGACCTATGACTTTTCTTGCGCTGAAAAGTGGAGCTGGATTAAATTAGGACAAAAAATGGGTTTTCCCAGCTTTGTTTCCAAATAGGAATCCTTGTAATAACTCGCAGGAACCAAGTATTCTTATAGGAACACAATCGGTCCCTCAAAATTGGATGCCAAAATTTAAAGTTCACCCTGACAAAAAAAATTGATTCAAAATTGAGTTGACAGAATTGGGGGGGGGGGGGGTGGCAGACGCGCCTTCTTCAAGAAGCCATTCGTCCCTCCCCCCTGCCGACCCAAAAGGTCTTCCCTTTGAGATATTTTGAGATATCCATTTATTTTATTGAGACCCCAAAATTTTTCTAAAGTGCCTTCAGCGCCGTTATACACTAATATGAATGGGGAAGAGCACGCCGAAAAAAAACACGGTTCTTTGGACAAAATTGTCCAAGAAGGGCCTACAGACGCTTTTATGGTCTGTTTTTTTTTCGCCTGCATTGCAAAAAACTAGGCCAAAACAGTCCGCATCTAAATTAGCCGTAGGTAATCGATTAAAAATGATTATTATGTTGATTTTTTGACAACAATAAAAAATTATACTTACCAGAGTTAGGTGTTCGAAGAACTTTTATTCGATTTTGATCATGATAAGCTCCAAGAGGTAACTATCTCTTATAATCGATTATTATTGATTATAGTGTTTACAAAAAACTTTTAAATCAATAATAATCAATTAAAACCGATTATAATTATGCGAGTGCTTATTGGAAAGAGTGCTTATTGGAGAGAGAAAATTGCGAGTACTTATTGGAATCAATGACTTGTTTTTGAGTCTTCAGTCTCCGTGTCTAGATCTTAGTAATTTCAGCATAATCGATATGATCATTATTTATGTCATGAGCATGGAGCTCCCTTTCTGTAAAAAGTCGTTTTCGATTTCTACTCTTGATTTATTGTCTTGTTGGCTTTTTTCTAACTCCTTTTAACCCAATTTTAACCCAAAACTTGTTCAAAACTCACTATAGAGGTTCTGCCGATGATGAGTTTTGTTTTACGCTAATGTCTCCTGGTTTGTCAGCATGTGTTCGTTCATATGTATCTGCATATGATCTCCGCGGATCTTCTGTATCTGCCGTTCCCGTGTCTCTAGGTAGAATGTAATCATTCTGCACAGTCGACTGAAATTGAAGACCAAAAATAATTCAGGAACTATTTATTCTTTAAGTAGCGATGATAAAGAAAAGAGGTTTTACGATAAACGACTTAAAATATGACTAAAAAGTGCGACTCAACTTTACCTCATTCTGATTAGTCGAAAACTTGACTAACTTAATCTACTTAACAATACCCCCCCCCCCACCCCCGCTTTTCTTTGAGGGGGGGGGGGCGATATGGGTAAATATTAACTAGATACCATATAGTTTTTTTTTATAGAAACAGATTATTTTGGCGTTTTTGATACGAATTTTTCATATTCTAGCTTGAGGAACAATAAGGCACTCACGGGTCTTGACTCAACTCCAACTAAATCATCATATTCATGTATCTCCTCTTCTTTGTTTTCGCCTTCAGTCCCACTTGGCACATTAACATTCATTCTCTTCAGCCTCTCTGTGGCCTTTTTGCTCGTCTGGTCTTGATAGGCCATAATGTCTGGCTGACTGTCGAGGAACTTGTTCATCAGGGGGTTAGAGTCCGGACTCACCATTAGGTCGCGAAGAGCGGCAGAGGTCAATCCGGCTATTCTCTGCTGCATATACTTTTGAAGTGACGATGTCACCTATTGGATAAAACATAGTTTTGAAAAAAAAACAAGATACGTTTTTTTGTTTAGTTCGGGTATGATCTTTTGGTATGCTTTACGAGTGAGCTTATGTTTAAGCTTTTAAGGTTTCGGCAACCCCTTTTATGAAATGTTTGTGACAAAATCCTATCAAAAGCTGAAAAACGTAAGAGTATTTGGTTCATGTGTAATTAAGTCAGAAGGTTCTGACGCCAGTAATTTTTTAAAGTATGTAAATATTTCAAGGTTTTTTTTCATTTTTTTGTTCGTGTGAGAATAAGGACAATAATTTAGATAGAGTACATCATTGAAACAATTCAAAACTATTTTTTTCTTCATTTTTTCTGGCTAACTTTTTTAGAGCACAAAGCATTTTTCATAGCTTAAATAAATGCTTTTTTTTCTCTACTCGCTTGCTTACTTGCTGTAAATTTGACCATAAGCCTAAATTTTTGAACCGGTTTTTCTTCAAGCAGAGAAAAATGTTTTAAGTTTTTTGAAAATCGATTGGGTCAATATTATATACTCCACCCCATCTGACGTTTATCTGTGATACCTTTTTTGCCTTGAAAGAAAAATTTAAAAAGCTCAAAAAAATCCGAAAAGAAAGTTCCTCCCCAGTTGCCGGAACAATTACAATGCTGAAAATTTGGCCAGTGACTTTTTTGATGGCTAAAAATTCCAACCTCTTTCCAAGTGGCGTGGAATAATTCCCTGTGAATTTCGTCACTTCTGAAGGGAAAAGGAGTCACTGGAGGAATGCCTGATTTCTTTCGAGGCACATGGAACTTCTCTTGCTGCTCAGACCACCTTAAACACGAACAAGCAAACGTGTAAAAACTCAATAATATACATGCAAACGTGTGTTTCTAAATATTTTGCAAAAAAACTTTTCGATAGACAAAAAACTTATTGACCCATTTTGCAAACTCTTTGCTATAATTGCTCCGACTTTCATTACGAAAGTAACGGAACACTTGTGCTCGAGGTGGATTTTTTTTAGTCAAACAAATTTCCACTTTGTTCAGTGTTCAACAAATTTTTTTATCATTCAAAAGGTATTATTGTCCTGAGCTTAAACTGGAAAAAGTATTTCACCTGTGATCTTTTTTTGTAAGTTATGAAGGTTTAAAGGTTGCAATTTGGGACAATTAACGCGCGATATTTTTCGCGCTGTTAACGCGTAAGCGGAGATTTAATCCGTCTTAGAGCTTGTTCCAAATTGGTTGAAGAAAGCTTATTTGTCATAATTGGTGTGTTACTAGGAGCAAATTTTATCCTTTGTACTTTATATGGCATGTGGGAGGATGATTTTCACAAAAACCTGAAGTTAAAAAAAGTTTGAGTTTATTTTTTTACGTGCAATTTTTTCATGTTATTCCTGCTCCATAGACCTCAAAAGGCAGTTGAAACATTCAGCACTGTGCCCTGATACGAGCAGTCTTGTTATTATTATACTGACGAGGCTTGTATCTATGGTTTTTTAGAGCGGGTGAAACTTCGAAAACTTTAAATTTTGTCGACCTTTAGAGCTCATCAAAACTTCATAAAAAAAAGGCTTAAAATGACGTTTTTGGGCACTCATTAGAATGTTTCAACCAAAATGTTGCGCAAGTTACCCATAAAATTTAGGCAGGGGTGGATTTAGGGGGGGGGGGGGGTCGGTGGGCGTCGTTTTAACTTCCTTCAGAGATTGGACCCTCTAACCAACCAAAAGTTCCCCCTTTTGGATACTGTTTTATTACATTCATTTTCGGCGACTAGCCCTAAAATTTGTCTAAAGACGCCACATATACTAATTTTAAAGCCAAGCGCTCCCCGAAAAACGCAAATTTTTGATCGAAAACTTCCAAATATTTACCAAAACCGGCAATTTTGAGGTTTTTTTTACAGAAAAATGCCTGTGGTACAAAAAATTTTGTCAAAGTGGGGCCTATTTAGTGTTCTATGAGTGTTCGGAAAATCAATTTGTTTTGACCAGGGGCGAGTCTAGGATTTTCTCAAGGGGGCGGATTTTCAAAAAATTTTTGAAAAACTTTTTGTCGACCTTTTTTAGGTTGACTAAATTGATTTTCCAGGCTCTCCCAAAGCACTCCCGAAGACTCTGTTTCGGCCAAATTTTCTGCGCCGCAGGCAAACTTTTAAAAAAAACAGGCCAAAAAAGGCTTTTAGGCTTTTTTTGGAATATTACCGAAGAAATTAGTACGGGGACCCTTTGGGTAGGCAATGGCTCGAATCCTTGAAGGGGAAAAGGTACCCCCCAAAAGTGCTGGTTGGTTCGATCTACAGAAAACGCCGACAAAATTTATTGAAAATTCCCCTCCGTTGAGAAAAACCTAGATGCGTAAATTTAGGGTAATTATGCTTTAAGCAATTTCGTAATTTAGCTTTAAACATTTTCGTAACTGCAGCTATAAAGATATTTTAGAAAAAATGATCTGGATAATACTGACGTTGAATGAGGGGGTTCCTGCTGGTCGAATGCAATGAGTTCCTCCATCTCCCCCTCCTGTACGAACACCTGTTCGACCATCTGTTCGTGGGTGAGGGGGATGGTGGAGGGGGAGAAGTCGTCGAAGGAGCGCACCAGACGGGGAAAGGGGTGCAGGGTACTGCTGCTGCCGTCGATGCTCAGGCTGAAATCAAAACTTGGCATGTTTTGGAATTTTTATTTTTAACAGTTGAACCAAATCAACTGAAACAGTTCTGGCAAGCTACCATGTGATACATAATGATTATAAATTTTTTATTCAACAGACAGAAACTATTCAATATTCAGAAATTATTCAACAGACAGTTGTCAATTTACATAATTCTGATATGTAAGAATAAGGACATCAAAATGGCAGACAGGCCTAGACAAGTGATGCCTACTCGCTACAAACGTTCAAAGAATACAACTTCTCATAGTTGAAAAAATGGATTCTTTTAAAATCCAGAGTTGACTTCTGCACCTGCTTTGCAATCTATTATCAATGGAGGGCTAACCTTAAGTATCAGATTTTAAATTTAGGAAAACCGAAGTTACTGAAGATACTGAAATGGACTGAAATGGAGACAACTGTAAGAAATTTAGTTTAAGTGAGGTTTTTCGAATGCGCCTGTACCTGGACAAAGCCTTATTTTTCAATCAAAAATAATGAATTTAACCCCCAAAGGGGACCCTATGGGTAGTGGGAGTTGAGTAGAACCACTGAGAGAGGAGGTCCGGCCACTCCCCCTAAGTGGAGTTCAAGCGTAGTTTAGTTTTTTGAAATTTTCAAACTGAATCATTTTTGATAGCGATTTTTGATTGAAAATTTTGTCAGTTTTTATTCTGTGTCTCAAGATATCATATGCACAGTTATTCCCTACAATGGTGGATTTTCACAGTGTGTTATTGGTTTTTTGGAGCGTAGTCACAGAGTATGACGGAGAGTTAACGGAATTATATTTCTCGCACTTTTCTGAAAAATTGTCAGCTAAAAGTTTTCATATCTTCACTTTTGTTTCCATAGTCCAATTGTCCTGAAAAATTGCAAACACAATACAAAAGCAGTTTGTCTTCGTATGAACTCTGGTGAAAAACAAAACAAAAAACAAATCATTAAAACTGATGCTCATATCTGGTAGGGTAGGATGGTACAAGAACAAGTATATATTGACGCTGAATTCAAAACAAGAGAACTGATTCAGAGATGATTCAGCACCAATTAATTACTGTGAACTTCAGCGCCGATTTTTTGATGCTTTGGAACTAATCATGGATAATATTCCACTGATCAAGGACTGATCACTGACTTTTCTCTGAATCGTTACTAAGTTGAAGTTGAAATGCAATCATTTAACTATTTAAAACTTAAGCCATTCAAACCATACGCAAAATTAGCCTGCTAGCAACGTTTTGTTTTTAAATTTTTTTATAACTACATTGATAGCTTTTGCTTAAAAAAGTCGAACAATCTACATGAAAACAAAGTTTTCAATGAACGCTCACTTACTATTTGACCCAAGAGTTTTTTTGAGTTCACTATGTGACAAAAAGCACTACATTTCTTTGCTTCGATAGTTCTTTGCGGCTGTAGTAGTTAATGCGGAGAAACAAAAATAAGGAACGAAAACTTTTGAATTTTTTTTTCTAAAATAGTCAAAGTTTTTCCACAAAAATTAAGATATTTCTTGAAAAATGTTGCCTATTTGTTCTTGCAAACAGCGAAAAATTATCCTGAAAACTCAGAATGAGAGGTACTCATTGCTTACAAGAACTTTTAGATTTGCAGTAAGAAGTTATCGAGTGTGATCAAATTAGTGTTCAACATTACCATTTTTTATCAATTATATTTAAGAGTGGTCCAAACATTAGAAAAATGAAGACCTTGTTATCGAAAATGAGAAAATTTGTGAACATTTTTTGAAATTTAAACTGAACCTAAGCCTAAGTCGCTTAACATCACGCTCAAACACACCAATGAGTAAGCAAATTACAAACATATCGTTCGTTTTTTTGCCTTTTTCTAAAATAGTTTGCCCGCTACCCGCTTAACAAAGTGAGCCATTTAATTTGCATACAAATGGCTGAGCATTCTCGTTCTTAACAGCAATTGGGATGTTAATTAATCATAAATTTTATCCTATCTGCATTTCAGACAATAATTTATTTTATTTTATCTAAACGCTATTTTATACAGCCACTTTTTCAACATGATATTAGTTGTTTGTTTGAATCTTTTGAAATCCTTTGAAAAAAAAGCTTATTTGAAAATGAAATAAAATCAAAGGTGATATAGTGTTACGTTTTTGTATTACTGTAGAGTACAGTGCTGATTTAAATAATCCGGACAAAACGAACAGTTTGAAACTTCAAACGTGTTTTCTCAAACTCAGTTGAGATAAGGCAGAGAAAAATCAGAAGAACGAAAGTTTCATTTAAAATTTGACCAGATTTGATATGGTGCAATTTACTTCTTTTTGAAATTCGCAACCAAAGTTTTAACTCAAAAAAAATAACTTTAGCTTTTTTCATTGATCAAGAATTACGCTGAAACTACCGAGTTAATTCAAGAAAAAAATATTTAACAAAAGAAGTCTCTTACACAGTTCAGCAATGTTCTAGAAGAGTCGTGTTTCCAGAAACTGGTGCAAAGCGTTAAAAATTGTTTTTAAGCAGAGATTTGATTTTTATATAAAATAATGACCTTTTTTGGCTATCAACCAAAAAATTATTCTCTTCTCTTTGACACTGTTTTGGAAATGTAATCCTTCTAGAGCTTTTTTGAGCTGTGTAAAAATCTTCCTTGATATACCTATTTCTTGATTTAACTTAGCTTTTTATTAACGAAACAAAAACTGACATGACCCAATTTTGAGGTAAAACTATGGTTGCAAATTTCAAAAAAAAAATTGAACCATACTAAATCTGGAAAAGTTTATGCAGATTTTGTTCTCTTCATTTTTCGTCTTATCTCAACCCAACTTAGGAACAACGTTGTTTGAAATTTCCGATTGTGATCGTTGTGTCCGTTTGTTTTAAATCAGCACTGTAGACTGAGCGACACTTTTAAATGAAACTTTTGAGCATGGTAAACGAGTGGTAAGCTAGGTGACATATCCCCAATATTATCAAGTTAGTGTGGCCCATTGCGTGACTGATTTGATTGAATTGTCGGGCACCTTTTTTCGCCTCTTCGGTTGCCGTAGAGGTTAGAGATGATAAGAAATTTTTTGTGACTTTCGAAAACATTTTGTGCTCATGTTCATTCTTCTGTTTCACAACAATATGGCTGCGCAGACGTGATTTGTTAATACGTCACAGTTATTTTTTTTATAAGCGGTTTGGAAAAAATATTCAGTTAATTAATTAGTTCACATTTGAGCGGGAAAAATCATGCTTTTCGAACACTTTAATCTTTTAGACGGTTGAAAAAGATTAAAACGGTGAGTGAATTTATTGCATCATCATCTATCATTAGAAAGAATTTTAATGTCTCTAGTCCATTCGGGTGTGGCCTCTGACTTTTGGTTGCCTTCGCCTCAAAGCTGCGCCAGAGAAAATGACCGGATGTCTCCTTACGTTTTGGTATGCGACTCCGTTTAAATATTTCATGAAGAATTCGATTGTGTTTGAATGCAGTTAAAGTTCAAACGAAGAGATGATTAGAAATTCTCTTTTAAGTTAAAACGGTTTTTTTTTCATGCCTTGACGCTCAAGTTCAAAGGTATGAAATAAAAATCACTCATTCGTTGAAATAGGTCACGAATGATCAACCAATAGGTGGACATTCAATTATAAAACCAGAGGTTGAATTCACACTGAACCGAATATTTTACTTAAAAGTGATTGTCACTTAAAAGGGAAAATCAAAATTTCGAAATTCTTAGATCTGATAACTTTATCGGAATGAAATTGAAAAGATATCATTAAAATGACGATATAAGTGTTAAAAGTAGCCATAATTTACTTATTAATAATAATTAGGCTGGTTGTTGTATTACAATAATTGCGATAGTAATGGGCCACGGGCGGATTTGAGGGGCGGGGGATGCTGACGCTCCTTTTACTACCCCTACAGGGATGCGGACGCTCCTTCTCGCCTTTAGTACTATTTCGATCCTAAGAATTTTCTTAGCGCCTTTGTCACTATATTTAAAAACAATGAGAAAAAAGTGCAAGCCGGAAGAAAGCGGGAGTTTGGTCAAATTCTTATTCAAAAAAATCCAAAAACGAAGCTTTTTAAATTTGAAATTTTTTTTTTTATGATTTACACTTTTTCATAAGATTAACACAATTAGAGCAAACTGGTTCAAAAGGTTTATTTTATCACTAGGAAGTGTGTCTTTACATCGTTCGTTGACGCCTAAAAAATATTTTAAAAAACAACGTTTTTTTAACTTTTTTTCATCTAATTTTTTTGTAGTAAAAGGCGATTCAATTATCACTGCGAAAAAGATATGTAATAATTGCTAAAACAATGTACGAAATGAAAAATTACTCCTATTTAGAGTTCAGTCTCTCACTGTGTGTTTGTAATTTTGCGTCATTAAGTCTGAAAACGGAAAATGCAGACACTTTTTAACCACACTAAGACATTTTTTTGGATTTCTTTGGAATCCGAATTATGAACAACACAGGGTTGATTATGATATCAAACTTGACAAAAGTTTTCTTTGCGGCACATAAAACTGAGTTATTGTTGGCGTGAAATGATCTCGTGAAATTATCGCATCAAAAATTTTTCGCAAGAAAAATTATCTTTTATACTAAAAAGTTACCTTTTAATGGTTGATGACTTGGACGCCACAGCGTCCCTTTTTGATGACTTCTGGCCCAGTTTCTTCCGCGATGACACCATGGGTTCTGTGAATATCACCCCCTCATTGGCAAGCATTGCCGACGTTGACAGCTCTTCCGAAAACTCAGGGTTTCTCCGCCGACCTAGGCCTTCGAGTCGCAGTTGGGGAAAGAGGAGTCGCCAGTCGCCACACTCAGTCACTATTCGATCCGGGATGTCGCGGCCCCTAACTCCATTGTAGAGGAGTTTCTCAATTGATTGGAATATCTCACAGACTCGATCTGTAGCTTCCATCGCAAAATCCTACAACACAATAAAGTTTTGAGTAGTGTAAATTATCTTAATCAGAAAATCATTTTTTTGATAAAAACCAACTATTTATTAGAAATTTGAAAAAACAATAAACATTAGAGATTGATTTTGTTCAATGATCTCGTACAACCGCAAAAAAAATTATTTTGTATAATCTTGGGCTTCTCACATCGTCTTCCCATAGTGATGCGGCACTGCTCAGAGACGAACTGTGTGAGGACTCGATTCGGGTCATGACGTCATTGAGACAGTACTCGTTGAAGGACGTGTTCAAATCTAACTGACTCAAGTACTCGTCCAAGTTTTCTTCTTCGTCGTCGTTTTCTGTCACTTGTAGCTCAGCTCCAAACATGTCGTGGCTAATAAACACCATCGGCATGTCAGGGATAAGTTTAGTTTTCAAGTTGTGTAAGAAAAATTTTTAAAGTTTGACAAACAAAATTGATGCATTTTCGTAACCAAAACATAAAGAAAATAAACGACCATATACGCGGTAATTTGTGAAATTGTCATTAATTTTTTAGAGCTAAGAGAAATTTTTTTTATAGTTTAGCAGCTTGATATGAAAGTATTACACTTCTTAAATTCAAAATGTTAATAATTCAGAGTGTTTTTTCAAGATGGTCGTTCATGCCTTTTGATTGGCATCTTAAAATGCTCATGGATGAAAAGTAAAACATCATTAAATTTTTATTATCGCTTTAATAATTAATTAAAATCTAGAAGACAATCCATTTAGAAACGCCATTATGATTGTCATTTTCTTAAAGAAAGGTTGCTCCAAAATGTTTCAACTGCGCTCAGAATTTTGCACCAAGTCTTTGTTTTTTTTTCAAGGGAAACACCTGCAAATTTTGCCAGGTATGCAGATTGAATTGGTTCTCAGCTGAGGATATATTAGTTTTCAATATAAATATAGCTTCTAACAACAATAATAGTTGAAAAACGGGGTGGGAAAATTGATTCCAAATTAACAAAAGAACGTCAATGTCACCTTTTCTATCAATTGTGTTCCTTTTAGAAAAAAAGGAGTAATCGGTCGTTTAATTTGGTGTTTTCCATCAAATGGTTGAATGAAACGAAAGCGTCATCCACAAACCATCTTTTTTAACGAACATCAGTGAAGCGTTTGGAGGTGGGGACATTTTTCTCCCTTTTGAATAGTTATTGAATTGTTGTCTTCCCAAAAGCAACCCATAAAAATTTGAATGAGCTAATGAGCAGATAAAGATCCCCCCACCCTATGGTACCTAGAAAAGAACAACCACCAAATATTGAACTGATTGAACGATTAGGCTTATTTCAATTTTGTTCCAAGAAACGATTCCCCCTTTGCTATAGGGGGGTAGGGGTCGCTTAAAGAATTCAGATATTATTCTGCCTACGTTATATTGAAAAGATTGCTTCTCTATTTAGAAAAAAGAATATAGCCAAGAGAAATTCTCACCGGCGGGTGTAATTTTTTTCAATGCCTGGGTGGTCTTCATTTTGTGGTTGCCAGTTATTAATCTCCGGTGAAACCCATAATCTAAATATGACAAACATGGCATTATTAACAGGAATGTTATTTCATTCAAAGCTGAATAGCCCAACTTGCATCACAAATTAGGATTACGGATACAAAATTGTTAATCTTTGGTCAATTTACATGTTTGACATTTTTTCTTTTTTGGAGCTTCAATTGTTTGGATTTCCGAAAATACGGTCTGAGCGTTTCAGGCACCTAATTCGTTACTTTTCATCTAACTTACCGTTTTCACCAGATAACGCAGTCGAAGCATTCAGGGCTTTGACTTGTCTGAAACAGACTTGTTTCATCTTAAATCTCTTTTAAATCGAGAAGCTGCAATGTTTGTAAACTTTCGATATAAATATTTCAATGTGGGTTTTTCAAGTTCAGCCAATGATTAGTTAATAGTTATCAATTTCCCTGATAGTTATCAATGGTAGCTATTAATTTGTTATCAATGATTGATATCCTTTTGTATCAATGATAGTAATTTCTCTGTAACTAGAGGATGTTTCTTTGACCACGTTATTAGGGGCCAAAACTTCGTAAAAATAAAAGATTAAAAAATTGAAAAAGATATTTAAAAAAGCGGGCTTTCTTTTTTTTCAAAATTTTTGCCGTCTGCTGGCTTAATATGAATATATTGGTCCAAAACTCCCATCTAATGCCTTTTTTATTGTGAAAATTTATCTATATCAGGCTATGAGTGAGTCATTCAATATTTCATACAATAACCATTCCCTGCTTAATATCAATATGAGACACAGATTTTTTAACTAGTTTTTCTAAACATAGAAATCACTTTGAAACAACAGACTTAAATGTTTCCAAAGCCTTTGAAATTTGTTTGTTGCGACTTTCGAAAAGAGTTTTACTTACGAGAGACTAACTTGTGCTCGGGGTAGTTTTTCTTCTCTTCGACTTTTTAACTATCAATTTTTGCCGAAATATTTAGTATCATCCGAATGTTATCGTTGTCGTGGGCTCAAACTTGAAAAGATAATTTACCTTTATTGTTCCGACTTTCGATACGAAAGTAACCGAATATTTGTGCTCGTGGTGTTTTTTTTTTCTTTAGACAAATTTCGACTTTTTAACTAGCCATTTTTGACGGAATTTTTTATATCATTCAAAGGGTATTGTTGTCGTGAGCTTAAACTTGAAAAGATATTTTACCTGTGATCATTTTTTGTAAAGTTATGCGGGTTTAAAAATTGCCATTTCGGCCAATTTGGGACACTTAACGCGCGATATATTTAGCGCTATTAACGCGTGAGCGGAGGGTTAATCCGTCTTAAAAATCATTCCAAATTGGTTGAAAGAAACTTATTTGCCATATTTGATTTGTTACAAGGAGCGAAATTTATCTTTTTGCACTTTATATGGCGTGTGGGGTGATGATTTTCATTAAAAAATTTCAAATTTTAGAAAATTTTTTCAAATTCTTACATTTAATTTTTTAATGTTATTACCGCTCCATAAAACCTTAAAAGGCAATCGGAACATTCAGGGCTTCGCCCTGATACGAGCAGTCCTGTTTGAATTTGTGGCTTTCAAAAATTGGCATATTGGGACAATTAACGCGCAATATATTTCGTGCTCTTACCGCATCAGCGGAGATTTCCGTCTCAGAATATGTTCCCAATTGATTCGAGGCAAGCTATTTAGTCCATTTATCACTTTGCTATATAAGATTTATATCGTTTTACACATTACATAGCGTGCAAGGAGATGGGTTTTGAAAAACAAACCTCAAAAAATTAAAAAAAAAATATCTTTTTTTAAAGCAAACACTACTCCATAAAGATTAAAAGACAAGCGCAGCCTTCAGGTCTTCGCCTTGTTACAAGCAGTTTTGTTAAGTTTTTTTTTAAAGAAAACAAGGCTGCTCGTATCAGATAGCCCTGAATGTTGCGTCTGCTTTTGAAGCATTATGGAATAAAAAAATTTAAAACCAAAAAACTTCTGTGAGGTTTTTAAAAACCATCACCGCGCTAATTTAAGTACATGAAAAAAATAACAAAACGACCAAAACGCATGTCTCAATTTATTTTGGAACGATTTCTCAGCCGGAATAGTTTTCAGATTATGTGTCATTGTCCCGAAATGTATCGCGAATCAATTGTCCCAATTTGGCCAGGTTGACAGACTTTCAATATCCATAAGCTGACAAAGTTTGTCTGTGAAATATCTTTTAATTTGAGCTCAGGACATCAATACATTTCAGTTGATATAGAAAACTTCGTCGAAAATTGCTAGCAAAAAATTCGACATTTGTGTGGAGAAAAAAAACTTCCCCGAGCAAGATTAAATTGTCATGTTCTCTAAAATTTGTAGCAATAAATATGATGGTTCAAATGAAGTCCAACAAATTTTCATTTAAAAATTTTGAAGTTGTCAGTGAAAAAAAAGTAAGCCAGAGTTTATTCACAAAGTGAGATGACCAGGAAAAGTTCGCAGTATTAATCAGTTGCTTTGTAAGAGGCCTCATTTTACCGGTCAAAGATATTGTTTCAAGACTTAAAGTTATAGTTTTTGAAAATAAATTATAGAAAAAACACATTTTTTTTCTGATCAAATTGTTTTTGGATGCCATTTTTTGGGCGAAGGATAGCCATTGGAAGTAACTTCATTTAGAGTTTTGTTGTTAAGCCAAACCAATAAAGGAAAAAATATATTTATTTGTGGTCTTAAAAACGTACAAACTGTTTTGCAATAAGAACATAAGTGACACTTTTATCTACAAAGTGCTTACTTTTTTCTTCAGACCAGAAAAAAAACTTTGAATTCCAGGAATAATCCAAATCACGAATTGGAAAATATTTCATGGAAAACACTTGATGCCACGACCATTTATGCATTCAAATTTGCATTGAAAAGTGCACTCTACGCTAAAATTTTGTCAAACTGTCCTGTTACCTCGAAAGTGGTGATAAAAAAGCACTGTTTGAGCTCCCATCTGAAATCAGTCACTCAACCTTAAAAATTGTCTGCGTTTTTTAACCATTTAGAAGCGCGTTAAAGTTTTCAGTGGGTTTAAGCAGAGGGCAGCAAAATATCTTTGTACCAAATTAACGAGCTCGCAAAAACCTGGTTCCGCTAATTTCGTTCCGCAAAAACCTAGTTTTTCCGCTAACGGAATAAGTTAATAGGTCACATAAACAATCAAGTCTCTTTTCCATGGGCAGGATTAGAAAAAAAAATGGTAGGATTAGAAGAATCAAAAGACCAGTTGTTTGAAGATTGGTCTTCAAAAATGGTCCTCATTTTTGTAGAAACTCGAGCCCAATAAAGTTATATTTTTCAATGGTATAGGCTTAATGTGCCCAATTTTTCTTTTAAAAATGTACTCATTTAGTGCCTTTCCAAAAATCGAGCTCCTTAATCTTGGTAAAACAAGGGAAAAAGAACCGGAGAATCATAGACAAAAGTAACACTGAAGATTTGAGCACTCAGTGATAGGTTCGAGTCTCGCGAGCTCTTTGTGTTTTCAAATAGAGGAGAAAAGTGACCCCAGTTCCCAATTTGTTACCCCATTTGGCACGGAGTGAGATGAATGAGCCCAATTGTCTAAAATCTTCTATGGTAAGTAATGTTAAATTCTGTGACAACAAAGCAATTGATCGCACAAAACATTGAGGTCATTCATCCTTTTCCCATGGAAAACTTAAGACAAAATGTTTGATCCAGGTTTGCCAAACAGATGGTTTCATATTCTTACATTTCATCTGCTTCGTTCGCCTTCGACTTCCCTCCCTCTCGCTCAGTGAGTGTCCCAATAGTCCTCTGAGAGTCCGCAGTCCTCGCTGCTCTCACCGAACTGTCCTGCTCCCCGTGTTCTGTGGGAGTCTGGATAGACCTGCGAGTGACCACTCCTCGAAAGTCGTAGTCCTCCTCTTCAAATTTGTCCATGCATGAGTCCAAATTCAGGTGAAACTCTTCCGTATTTTCGCCAACGTAGTTTTCATCTTCACCAGTACTAGAAATAGTAAGATTGTAGTCATTTTGTTCTAGAGCTTCCTTAATTTTGGGTGCCATAGTATATTGGATGTTCTCTTTTTTGGTTTTACTTAATTGGAACCATTTGAGCTAACTTTTCAATAAAATTTCTGAAGAAATTTTTGGCAAAAATGAAACAAACAGTTGCAACAAAATTTTCTGTACCAAATCAATTGCCACTCAATTTCAGAATCACATTAACATAGGGTTTTAATGATGAGGTTCTTTAAATGATTCATTAAACTAGAACCTAGTGGCTCAGCATGGCAATCTTTTTGAAAAAAAAAACTGACCTGCGAACTGATATAGAAGCGAGTTTGAGTTTTTCTTCCACTGCGTTCATATTTTTTGGCTGCTTTCTTTCCAAGTTCTCTTGAATATCATCTTTCGTAGAGATATTAGCTTGACGAGGTGGAGCTTCAATTTTACAAGCAATTTTGTTTGAGGTTTTGTTTTTTCCATTTTCTATTTCCTTTTGCAGTACTCCACCGGTGTTTGCTTCCAATTTTTGATTCTGAATCTCTTTAATAGGATTATGATTCGCATTCAGTGTAATAATTCTCTTTTCCTTGCTGTGAGGAGCTGGTTTGATGAAAGAACCATCTTTGGACGCCAAATTATAACGCGAGTATAACTCTTTCAGAGCTTCTCGTGATTTATGAGATGAATTACTCGAACCCTCTGGAATCGGCTGAGAAGTTTTCATGACTGGATTTAGAGACATTTTCTCCGTGTGATTTTGTTTTGAGTCTCGATTTTCGCGACTTGGAAGTTGACTGTTTGCTTTTGATTCTCCAATTGAATGTTTTTCCGCCATAAGGGAAAGTTTTGAACTCATTTGAAACTCTGGATGTTGCTCTGGACTTATCCGGGATTTTCTTGAAGCTGAAATTTGGTCGCCAGCAGGTGCTGAAGATGTCACTGTGTTGTAACTCAGTAGCGTTGTTGAAGTATTTTGACGAGTTGCTGCTTTGTATTTCAAGTTATCAGATTCTGGCTCCCTGAAAAAGAGACCTTTCAAAATTCTTTTCATTTCTTTCAAAAAATTTTCATAACAGTACCAGAAACAAAAAAAAAGCTGGTTAACAAGAATATCAGAATTTCGTAGTAATAATGAGTTACACCAGGCTAAAATGATCTGCCTTTTGATGCGTAGTGCGACAAGCTTCCTCGGTTTCCAGTCAAAGTTATGCCGATCTTAGTGAAGGTTTCTTATTGAAGGTGTGTTACTATAAAGAACTAGAAAAGTATTAATGTTGATGTTCTTTTGGTTGAGTTTTGTGATTAAACGGTGTATCATATTAATTGATTAGTGTAGGCAACATTACCAAAAACTTTTATGTAAGCCAACCCTCGAAAATTTGCCCACAGTGGTCTATGAGAGGATTAAGATTTTTAAAAAGTAGTTTTTGAGAACTCACGGATCATTTTTTGCAGTTTTTGAGAAGAGGGGTTCTAAGCTTCGGCCGTTTTGTTTTTCCGAAATTCGTGCCGGTTTATCGGTGTCTTTCGTATCAGTCGCTGAAACTTTATTCGGGATCCCTTTATCAAACCAACTTTTTTCAGGTGCTGATAAACTATTTGAGTCATCGTTGTGGATTTGGTAGAACTGCAAATGACTCCCAAAAGAAGTCAAATTTTCCTGACTTTTCGACTTCAGATTCGTCGTCCGCGCGATTCTTTCTTGTATGGCCTCCGAGTTCTGAGTTCGTCGGTGCAAAGCAATCAAATCCTCCATCGATTTTGTCACAGGCGTTGCATTTCTCAAACTCGTTGACGTCTAAAAATGATGGTTTTTTTGCAAGAATAAATAAAATGAAAACGAATAGTTTCAATGAAAACTTATTTCACGATGAGCCGGTTCGCCGTCTTTTTATTCGAAGCAAAACCGTCAGTTCTGTAAAACTTATAGAAAATTCATTAAAGTTCAATCAGTAAAAGGCTCTCAAGTCTCTTTTGAAGTTATCGATCAAAATAGTCTGACTGTGTTTTCATTACCAATTTACGATGATGGATTTTTCAGAAGAGGTTTTATCGCCAGTGATTTTTATTGCCGAAAATAAAGTTAATGAATCATTCACAATAAGATGAAAAAACAAACGAAAGAAAACAATTTTGATTGTTAATGAAACATCAATTGTCATAACTCCAGGAAACTGTCCAAAGTGACAGTTTTGAGATTTGATATTCAGAAAAAGCTCGATTTTTTTAATTTTTCAGCTGTGACAAGAAACATAAAAGACGCAATACTCATGAAAGCCTGCAATTTAACGAATAGAGAGCTTTGAGCTGTGAGTTCTATTGTTAATAGATGTGATGAATTTTTTATGAAAAACTGGTCAACTTCAGGTAATGATCATTTTATTGTGGAAACATATTTAGAAAAATCATCAAAAAGTGAAATCAGTTCTTATGAAATACATTCATGTATGTGGTGAAAGGAGAAAGAATTGTATTAGCTTTATTTGATTCGCGGTCGTTTTTTGTCGCTATGGTCAGACAAAAATAAGTTGTGTTTTATATGTCAAAAAATAATAATCCTTCGCCTTCTTTTTTGTAAGATCTCTGAAAATTTTGTGAATACTTTTGTTTTAGAGGCTTATGCATGAACAAAAGCTGCTGATTATTCACAATCTAATATAAAAGGAAAAAAAGACGCTCTAAACAAAAAGCACACCAAAATTTTTGGAATATGAACTGAATTTGGTTTATTTGGCTGAACCAAATTAACAAGCAAAATTGCACCCGCACTTTAATAGTGAAAATAACATTTGAAAATAGTAAAAAAGTGAAAATAGTGAAATTTAACGTAAATTTTCACCATTAACATTAATGGTGAAATAAACATTTTAAAAAAAGCTTGCAGATATTTTTCTTGTGTACAACTTTATGCTCAAGCTTGAAAATGAAAGGAATACTTTAGTGAAATCAAAGTTGTTGAGATTTTGATTGTTTTCACTTCATTACGAAAATTCATTTAAAATAATTCGAGTCTCAGTTTTTTTGGGAAAAAATGATTCTTTTTCAACCAAAAAAATTTACTAAAACCAATTTTCGTATCTAAATGGGCTATCGTAAGTCAGTTTATATGCAATGTATTATCTGTAAAAAAAATTTAAACTAATCTTAACCTCAAATTTGTCAGTGTTGGAAAAAGAAGCAGTTTTCCCTCTTGAAACATTCAGTGTTGGAAAAAGAAAACATCTCCTGATTAACTATATTTTTATGATAACAAAAAAATATATTCATATTTCACCTACATTTTCAATCGAAAAGTTCGTAATCTTAAAAAACTTCAATTTTTTGCATTGAAATTCATTTGGAATAATAGGAGTTTTTGCTCATTTCTCTGCCATGTCTTTGGTATAATCTATTTAATAAATCTTAGTTTTCAATATGCTTCATTGTACCTAATCAGGGTTGTATTCATATCTAAGATCAGTATTTGTTCTCATATATAACATATCTCTACTTGGAAACAAAAATTCTGGATCAGAAAAAAGTTCAGAAAAAATACAACCAGAGTTTTTTCAGATAAAGGATTTCAGTATTATCTTTGTTCACCTAATAAGCAATAAGTTTTAGTTTGAAAATCATAATGCTTACAAGTTTTATTTTGTTTTTGATTGTCATAAATTAAGAACAAAAATTATGAGCCAAGGAATTGAACGAATAGCAGAGGCACACACACACAAAGCTTAGTTTCATGAAAACCAGTTACTTTGTTTCCTATAAGTTTTTTCTGCCATTTTTCCAAAAGTTTGACAGTTTTCGAAATTACAAGATTCATTAATGATAATATACACATTACTAGTGGCAGACCTTGGTTTTTTCATGAAGGATTTGGATTTTACGAGCTCTCTCAAAACACTATAAGGACTCAACTTTCAACTTGATTTTTTATTACCACAGGTGAACTTTTTGAAAGCAAAAACAGCCTTAAAATGAATGTATTCAGTCCTTTTTGGTGATCATAGCTACCTAGTAGTTCAAGTAAGAATTGACCTTGAAAAAGCTGATTTTTTTTAATAACAAAAAACTATGTCAAGATTTTTTGATTGCTGTACAATGAATATACAAAAAACTTGAGAGAAAGGGATCTCAATTACTTTTAAGGTAACAAATTAATTTCACGGACTCAGTTGAGATTACTAAACTTTGAAAGTACCAGTTTCAGTTATTGTTCCGACTTTCGATTCGAAAGTAACGGAATATTTGTGCTCGGGGTGGGTTTTTTTTTCAGACAAAGTTCGACTTTTTAACTAGCAATTTTTGACGAGATTTCTTTATATCATTCAAAAGCTATTGTTGTCCTGAGCTTAAATTTGAAAAGATATTTCACCTGTGACCATTTTTTGTAAAGTTATGGGGGTTTAAATATTGCCATTTTGGTCAATTTGGGACAATTAACGCGCAATATATTTGTCTTATTTGTCATATTTGGTTTGTTACTAGAAGCGAAATTTATCACTTTGTACTTTAAATGGCGTGTGGGAGGATGATTTTCACTAAATATCTCAAACTTTTGTCATTTTATTTTCTTTTTTTTTATTAAATTTTGTCATGGTATTACTTTTTCATAGACCTTCAAAGGCAGTCGGAACATTCAGGGCTTCGCCTTGAGACGAGCAGTCTTTTCTACAGTTTAAGGTAAAAAACGAAACATTGTTGTTATTTATTTTTACTCTGTTGTTGAACCTACGCCACAACAAGAAACCATGCTGTTTCTTGAACATGCTGGTGCAATCTATTTCTCAAGTTATTGATTTTCAAATTCAAAATGGAGCCAAATTTTTTATAATATACGACCAAACTGTCAAAGCTCATAAAAATCTTCAAAAACAGTCAAATTTCCACATTGAGACTCAAAGTTGCTTTACAGTTGCTTGCCTAGTTTAGCATTGAAATGAATCTAAATGTCCCCTTTGACAATTAATAATGAACATATATGTTCAGCATTGCTCAAAAATACAAAATTGACTTTTTTCTGACGAAGCTGTTTAAGCACTAGATGGCGTCGAAAATACTTGAAAAATTTTTTTTGATGTTAAAGTTGCTCACACGAAGCTTTAAAATTTAGAATTTAAAAATATCCTCAGATTTGCGGAGCATATTTTCTCGTCAAAAACAGATTTCAAAATAATGAAGAAGCAGATGGTTCATATGATTCTAGATGTCACTACCATTTGTACACAAAAATTGAAGATATCAACAAGTTGCAAATCAAAATCCTGATGTTAGGGCTAATTGTTCCGACTTTCGATACGAAAGTAACGGAATATTTGTGCTCGGGGTGGTTTTTTTTTCTTCAGACAAATTTCGACTTTTTAACTAGCCATTTTTGACGGAATTTTTATATCATTCTACAGCCATTGTTGTCCAGAGCTTAACTTTGAAAAGATGTTTCACCTGTGACCATTTTTCGTAAAGTTATGAGGGTTTAAAAATTGCCATTTTGGCCATTTTGACCATGTTGGGACAATATAATTCGGACAATTAACGCCTAAGCGGAGATTTAATCCGTCCAAGAAATCGTCCCAAATTGGTTGAAAAAAGCTTCTTTGCCATAATTGATTTGTTACAAGGAGCGAAATCTATTGTTTTGTACTTTATATGGCGTGTGGGGGGATAACTTTCATAGAAAAGTTTTCAAACTTTAGAAAAAATGTTTTTCATTTTATTTTGTTTCATTTAATTTTTTTATGTTTTTTATGTTATTACTGCTCCATGAAAGTTAAAAGGCAGTCGGAACTTTCGGGGCTTCGCCCTGATACGAGCAGTCTTGTTCTCTTTTACTCAACTTAGGACAAAATACTTTAAATATTGGGACAAAATTAATTCGCGATATATTTCGCGCTATCAACGCGTAAGGGGAGATTTAAACCATCTAAGAAACCGTTCCAAATTGCTTGAACGCAGCTTAATTGCCATAATTGGTTTGTTACTATGAGCAGCATCTATTATTTTGTACTTAATATGGCGTGTGGGCAAATATTTTCACAAAAAACGTCATATGTAAGAAAAATCATTTTTACTTTTTAATTTTTAACATTTTCATGTATTTAATTTTTTCATGTTATTTTTTTGTAATTTTAATATTTAGTTTTTTGGTGTTATTACTGCTCCATGAAAGTTAAAAGGCAGTCGGAACTTTCGGGGCTTCGCCCTGATACGAGCAGTCTTGTTCTCTTTTACTCAACTTTGGACAAAATACTTTAAATAAAGGTAAAGAGGGTGCTGAGGCAGCTCTATAGCTGATTGATTATGCGTAGGCTCTTATTCAAAATTTTAAGCCTCGAAGAATTGCCTTCTGTTCAATTCCTGGATTGACAAAACTCTTTTTGGACTGGAATCAAATAACCTTGAAATTGTCGTTTTCGATACTCATTTGAACGTTATGACATTTGAATTGAAATACATAACAAGACTGCTCGTATCAGGTTGAAGCCCTGAATGTTTCGACTGCCTTTTAAGGGTAGGGAGCAACAATAACATTAAAAAATTCAATGAAATAAAACAAAATGAAAATTTTTTTATAAAAATCATCCCCCCCCCCACACGCCATATAAAGTACAAAAGGATAGATTTCGCTCCTTTAACCCTTATAACATTTCAAAAAATGATCACAGGTGGAACATCTTTTCAAACTTAAGCTCAGGACAACAATGGCTGTCGAATGATATAAAAATTCCGTCAAAAATGGCTAGTTAAAAAGTCGAAACTTGTCTGAAGAAAAAAAACCCACCCCGAGCACAAATATTCCGTTTCTTTCGTATCGAA